TCTGGCTATTGCTCCCGGCTGCTTACATCCACCTGTCACCTGCGGAAGGTAGCCAGCAGGAGAATGGAGCCGCGCAGGGGGGGGGATTGGGGGTTGCACCGTGGGAGGGGGGGGTGCAAGTAGATGGTCTTGCCTAGGGTGCAAAATAGTCTAGCACCGGCCCTGCATATACATAATGTACATTACTAAAGCTGAGGCTCCCAGACCCGAATGGCATCCAGTGAGCTCCCCAATGCAATTTGGAAATTCGGATCCCGAATGCCATTCGGGTCTGGGAGCCTCACCTTTAGTATGATATGTATATACTGTATATGGCTCCCATGTTGCCGTAACGACAATTCAGACCCATTCAGAGGCAATGATTGATCAGAAAAGTCACATGTCCGATTCAGTTTCGCTTTTGAACTAAATTCGGACGGGGATCCGGAATTCAGAAACGGAAATCCGTATTTGGACACATTCAGATGCATTGGGAATTGGAAAATTTGTACGAATGTCTACTGTTGGTACTTATGACCACTAACTGACAAAATACACTGAGTGGCCAGATTATTATGACCATGTGACGTTTGTAGGCAAATTAGCTATAATTTGGCGCTGAAGTTGCTAGAGGGCCAGACCATTATAAATAGGGAAGCAGGTTGGTTACCATGACAGTTGAAGTAATTGGTTTCTGAAGATACGGGGAAACAACGCGATTTAACAGCCTTTGAACGTGGGATGATAGTTGGCGCTCGGAGCCATGGAGCGAGTATCAGCACAACAGCAGAATTCGTTACATGTTGAAGAGCAGCTGTTGTTAAAGTGTTTAAAGACCGGACTGTCAGCCGAAAATCTGGGTCTGAACGTGCGAATTGTGGCCGTCAGCGACTAGTCAATGTTAGGGCAGAACGGGGGAGGGGCAAGACTGGTACAAGACAACAGAAGGGCAACAGTGCCGTGTCAGATTCCTCGCATCACCTTTCATCATCTCGTGGAGTCACGAGGCGGCCCAACGAAGTCGTCTTGTGGCCCAACGAAGTACTGATGGGGTGGTCATAATAATCTGGCCACTCAGCGTATAGTCTACTGATACAGTCCATGGTAACCAATCAGAGTCAAGCAATGGAAAGCAAACCAGCCAATGAAGCACGCTCTCTTCTGCTATAGGACGAGGTCCTCTTCATGTTGCTTCTGTTACACAAAGGCTTTCCACGCCATTCGCCCCTCCCCCATGACTATAGCATGGCCTTTGTTTTGGCCTCTCTGAAAACAGGTGTAAGTTGCCCCTGTCGTGACTGTTCCATTAGTAAAACCTTCAACAAAAATAATTTGGCATTTCTGTCCCCTCTTTTTTTTTTTTTTTACAGATTGTTTGCCGCAGCTGCTCCAGGAACAAATACCCTCTGAAGTACCTAAAAGATCGTCCGTCCAAAGTCTGCAACTGCTGCTACGCCGAGCTGCGGAAAAGAGGTGAGTGCAGCCGCAGCGCCAGGTTACAGGTTACCGGAGGCAAATGACTTGTTAGAAGAGACTGCTAAAGACCGCATACAGTCACAGGACAGCATTGAGACCGAGGCCAGGTTGTAGGAGGCAGCTAACATGTCACATGAGACTGTAAAGACCACATGCAATCACAGGACAGCACTGAGACTAGGGATGCACCGATACCATACCGATTTTTGGTATTAAGTACGACTACCTATATTTTTTTTTTGCGCTTGCTGATACTGAATACCGATACCGGAAGTCCCATTAAGGAAGCCAGGCGGCGTGTAATGACTCGCCACCCGGCTTCCTGATTTGCCGGGAAGCCGTCTCCATGCTTCCCATCACTAGGTGACGAGAAAGCATGGAGCCAGCTTTCTGGCCAATCAGGAAGCCAGGCGCCGTGTAATCCTGATTAGCCAGGTGCCTGGCTTCCTGATTGACCAGCTTCCCGACTAACCAGAAAGCCGGGCAGCTAATCATTACACGCTGCCCGGTTTCCTGATTGGCCGGGAAGCCGGCTCCATGCTCCCACGTCACAAGTGACGAGGGAGCATGGAGCCGGCTTCCCGGCCAATCAGGAAGCCGGGCAGCATGTAATGACTCGCTGCCCGGCTTCCTGATACCAGAAGTATCGGACTAGGTATCGGAGCATGCAGGCGAGTGTGAGTACTCACCCAAATACTCGGCATCAGAACCTAATCCCTAATTGAGACCGAGGCCAGGTTGCAGGAGGCAACTAACATGTCACATGAGACTGTAAAGACCTTTATAAGCCACGTACGGCAAGTGCACTTGACCTACAGTTGCCCTGCATTTGGGCATTCCCATAGACTTGCATGTGGTAGACTTGCATGGGGAGAGAAGCAGTATTGGCGCAAGCAACAGCTTGCTGACTCCAGCCCCTGGCCAGTTTCAGTAAGAGATCACCGTGCAGGGTTCGGATATAATGTATCTACTACAAAAAAAGACAACAGTATCCGTACTCCTAGTGATGTATTGCAGTGCAGAGAGACAGACTTACTAAGAGTATCTCCTCCTCCGAGTGCTATCACTCCACCTAGTGGCGGGATTTGGATGTTGCAGATCAAAGAAACAAAAAGTCTTTAGGTAATGTGAAGCGCCGCCACAATCATAAATACATCAATCTTAATGCCGCTGAGACTACCCAAGCCATACCAATGCGTCTCTGCTGTATATGTCATCCTCAGTCCTGATCTTAATGATCCTTCAAGTGCTTTTGGTAATGAAGGGCTCCCTGTGGCAGGCTGTCAATAGATATCCTCTCTGCTGAATCCCGCAGCAGCGTTGTCGGTTCTCTGTATTACTTGAAGCAGTGAAATCATCACCCTGAAGGCGTTGAGAGCTGACATCACTTCCAGGGCGATAGTAGAGAGATGTTCACCCCACTACCCAACCCTAACGTCAGCAGACCCCCGCCCACCAGAAAAAGGACCACTCGTGGTACTGTAAAGGTAGGGTAAGGTTAAGGGTAGTCCGCCGCTAAAAAACTGCAAAAATATGTAAAAACTTTACATAGGCAAAGACTGTTTCCAAAAGCTATTGTGTCTCTGAAAGGGCTGCACTCATGTTGTTGGGGTTGGATTGTGTATACTTGCCATCTCCTTTAAGTCATTGCTTTGTCTGGTTTTGCAGAGCTCGCTACAGCCAGTGCCAATTCCTCACCGCAAATGCCAAGATCGGCAACCAGCACCTTCACGTCCATGTTTCAAAGCATCCACCCGTCTGCTTTCAAGAGGCATAAGAAAGTGCCATCAGCTCTGCTGGAGGTAAGACAATGGCTGCCGGAACTGGACGTGCATGCTTGTCCTGACCCAGGTTTAGGCGCACACATAGGCATTTTTCAAATCTTAGCTCGTTCATGCCAGTCTGGAGACCATCTTGTTTGGTCGGCCTTTAAAAGTATCTCTCCTGAAGCCCTCTGAAAATCTTACTGGCTTCTGTCTGGGAGTGTTAAACTCAGATCTTGATGGCAATGCTGGTATAGCTTTAAGAAAAGCATTGGGGAGGACCTAAGCAGGTATTTTCTAAGCTATGGGAGGATACTCCAAGTGCCTACTATATACATACTGCAGGGGTGGACAACCTCGACACTCCAGCTGTGGTGGAACTACAAGTCCCATGAGGCATTGCAAGACTCTGACAGGCATGATTCTCAGAGGCAGAGGCATGGTGGAATTTGTAGTTTCACCACAGCTGGACCCCTGTCTTAAATTAAAATGCCAGCTAAATTTCTGCTAAATGAAGTGTTCTCCAGACTAACGTTTAAAAAATGCCCCAGAGGAGAACTCCAGTTAACCCTTATTACAAATGACATATTTAAAGGGCATGTATAGTCATAGCCAAAAGGACATAATAGGTCCAACTGGGGATGCCCAGGGTCAAGCTGGATGATGTCACTTCCCATGGCAGCCAGTGACTTGGGCGCACCTTGCGCAAGAGTCATCATGGCAATTGGCACATAGATGCCCCGGGTCAAGATGGATGATGTCACTTCCCATGGCAGCCAGTGACCTGGGCACACTGTGCGCAAGAGTCATCGTGGCAATTGGCACATAGATGCCCAGGGTCAAGATGGATGATGTCACTTCCCATGGCAGCCAGTGACCTGGGCACACCTTGCGCAAGACTCATCATGGCAACTGGCACATAGATGCCCAAGGTAAAGATGGATGATGTCACTTCATATGGCAGCCAGTGACTTGGGCACACCTTGCGCAAGAGTCATCGTGGCAATTGGCACATAGATGCCCTGGGTCAAGATGGATGATGTCACTTCCCATGGCAGCCAGTGACCTGGGCACACCTTGCGCAAGACTCATCATGGCAATTGGCATATAGATGCCCAGTGTCAAGATGGATGATGTCACTTCACATGGCAGCTAGTGACCTGGGCACACCTTGGGCAAGAGTCATCGTGGCAATTGGCACATAGATGCCCAGGGTCAAGATGGATGATGTCACTTCACATGGCAGCCAGTGACTTGGGCACACCTTGCGCAAGTGTCATCATGGCAATTGGCACATAGATGCCCAGGGTAAAAATGGATGATGTCACTTCATATGGCAGCCAGCGACTTATTTCCACCTTGAGTCATCATTGCAATTGGCACATAGATGAAGCTGCAATGAAGAGTCAAGGATAGACCAAGTTACTCCTTGGCATCGTCCCCATGTCTGCCGTTGTAGTTAATGGCAGGTTCTAAGTGAATGTCTCAGCCCGGGATAAGTATGACGCAGTTATTACATTAATGATGAACAGTCTTTGAAAGCGATGTATAAATCTATCTTACAGCATTATAAAATGTACAGTATATCCCTTTCTAGAGCGTGTATGGGAAATGAGCTGTCTTCATATATCTCAATTTTATAATGCTGTAAAATGTGTTTTCTCTTATTAATGACTTGGGCCGGGCCTGATATACAACCAACAACACCATTTATACAATAAACTGAAATATTCTGATTAAGAAAAGTAACACAAGTGGGCTGCAGGGTTTGGGATATTACAAGCAATGTTAAATAAGTGTATTGGCAGACAGTATGTGCAGGAGAGGAGTGTGGGGGTATGACAGAAGGCAGTATGTGCAGGAGAGGAGTGTGGAGGGTATGACAGGGGGCAGGATGTACAGGAGAGGAGTGGGGAGGGTATGAGAGGGGGCAGCATGTACAGGAGAGGAGTGGGGAGGGTATGAGAGGGGGCAGCATGTACAGGAGAGGAGTGGGGAGGGTATGAGAGGGGGCAGCATGTACAGGAGAGGAGTGGGGAGGGTATGAGAGGGGGCAGCATGTACAGGAGAGGAGTGGGGAGGGTATGAGAGGGGGCAGCATGTACAGGAGAGGAGTGGGGAGGGTATGAGAGGGGGCAGCATGTACAGGAGAGGAGTGGGGAGGGTATGAGAGGGGGCAGCATGTACAGGAGAGGAGTGGGGAGGGTATGAGAGGGGGCAGCATGTACAGGAGAGGAGTGGGGAGGGTATGAGAGGGGGCAGCATGTACAGGAGAGGAGTGGGGAGGGTATGAGAGGGGGCAGCATGTACAGGAGAGGAGTGGGGAGGGTATGAGAGGGGGCAGCATGTACAGGAGAGGAGTGGGGAGGGTATGAGAGGGGGCAGCATGTACAGGAGAGGAGTGGGGAGGGTATGAGAGGGGGCAGCATGTACAGGAGAGGAGTGGGGAGGGTATGAGAGGGGGCAGCATGTACAGGAGAGGAGTGGGGAGGGTATGAGAGGGGGCAGCATGTACAGGAGAGGAGTGGGGAGGGTATGAGAGGGGGCAGCATGTACAGGAGAGGAGTGGGGAGGGTATGAGAGGGGGCAGCATGTACAGGAGAGGAGTGGGGAGGGTATGAGAGGGGGCAGCATGTACAGGAGAGGAGTGGGGAGGGTATGAGAGGGGGCAGCATGTACAGGAGAGGAGTGGGGAGGGTATGAGAGGGGGCAGCATGTACAGGAGAGGAGTGGGGAGGGTATGAGAGGGGGCAGCATGTACAGGAGAGGAGTGGGGAGGGTATGAGAGGGGGCAGCATGTACAGGAGAGGAGTGGGGAGGGTATGAGAGGGGGCAGCATGTACAGGAGAGGAGTGGGGAGGGTATGAGAGGGGGCAGCATGTACAGGAGAGGAGTGGGGAGGGTATGAGAGGGGGCAGCATGTACAGGAGAGGAGTGGGGAGGGTATGAGAGGGGGCAGCATGTACAGGAGAGGAGTGGGGAGGGTATGAGAGGGGGCAGCATGTACAGGAGAGGAGTGGGGAGGGTATGAGAGGGGGCAGCATGTACAGGAGAGGAGTGGGGAGGGTATGAGAGGGGGCAGCATGTACAGGAGAGGAGTGGGGAGGGTATGAGAGGGGGCAGCATGTACAGGAGAGGAGTGGGGAGGGTATGAGAGGGGGCAGCATGTACAGGAGAGGAGTGGGGAGGGTATGAGAGGGGGCAGCATGTACAGGAGAGGAGTGGGGAGGGTATGAGAGGGGGCAGCATGTACAGGAGAGGAGTGGGGAGGGTATGAGAGGGGGCAGCATGTACAGGAGAGGAGTGGGGAGGGTATGAGAGGGGGCAGCATGTACAGGAGAGGAGTGGGGAGGGTATGAGAGGGGGCAGCATGTACAGGAGAGGAGTGGGGAGGGTATGAGAGGGGGCAGCATGTACAGGAGAGGAGTGGGGAGGGTATGAGAGGGGGCAGCATGTACAGGAGAGGAGTGGGGAGGGTATGAGAGGGGGCAGCATGTACAGGAGAGGAGTGGGGAGGGTATGAGAGGGGGCAGCATGTACAGGAGAGGAGTGGGGAGGGTATGAGAGGGGGCAGCATGTACAGGAGAGGAGTGGGGAGGGTATGAGAGGGGGCAGCATGTACAGGAGAGGAGTGGGGAGGGTATGAGAGGGGGCAGCATGTACAGGAGAGGAGTGGGGAGGGTATGAGAGGGGGCAGCATGTACAGGAGAGGAGTGGGGAGGGTATGAGAGGGGGCAGCATGTACAGGAGAGGAGTGGGGAGGGTATGAGAGGGGGCAGCATGTACAGGAGAGGAGTGGGGAGGGTATGAGAGGGGGCAGCATGTACAGGAGAGGAGTGGGGAGGGTATGAGAGGGGGCAGCATGTACAGGAGAGGAGTGGGGAGGGTATGAGAGGGGGCAGCATGTACAGGAGAGGAGTGGGGAGGGTATGAGAGGGGGCAGCATGTACAGGAGAGGAGTGGGGAGGGTATGAGAGGGGGCAGCATGTACAGGAGAGGAGTGGGGAGGGTATGAGAGGGGGCAGCATGTACAGGAGAGGAGTGGGGAGGGTATGAGAGGGGGCAGCATGTACAGGAGAGGAGTGGGGAGGGTATGAGAGGGGGCAGCATGTACAGGAGAGGAGTGGGGAGGGTATGAGAGGGGGCAGCATGTACAGGAGAGGAGTGGGGAGGGTATGAGAGGGGGCAGCATGTACAGGAGAGGAGTGGGGAGGGTATGAGAGGGGGCAGCATGTACAGGAGAGGAGTGGGGAGGGTATGAGAGGGGGCAGCATGTACAGGAGAGGAGTGGGGAGGGTATGAGAGGGGGCAGCATGTACAGGAGAGGAGTGGGGAGGGTATGAGAGGGGGCAGCATGTACAGGAGAGGAGTGGGGAGGGTATGAGAGGGGGCAGCATGTACAGGAGAGGAGTGGGGAGGGTATGAGAGGGGGCAGCATGTACAGGAGAGGAGTGGGGAGGGTATGAGAGGGGGCAGCATGTACAGGAGAGGAGTGGGGAGGGTATGAGAGGGGGCAGCATGTACAGGAGAGGAGTGGGGAGGGTATGAGAGGGGGCAGCATGTACAGGAGAGGAGTGGGGAGGGTATGAGAGGGGGCAGCATGTACAGGAGAGGAGTGTGGAGGGTATGACAGGGGGCAGTAGGAGAAACAAATGTACTTGTTTCCAGTAACTGACACTTTCCTGTTTTATGGCCTTGTAGCTGCATAAATAAAATGTTCTTTGTTATTGTCTTAGTTTGTAAACTAAAAATGTGTCCTTCCAAATAATATATTTGGTATGATAAAGAAAAAGAAAAAAAGTGTAAAAATATACAATTGCTTAAAAAAGCGAACCCTAAATATACCGTTCCCTTGCGCCTCTTCCCAGGCAGCAGTGTCCGGAGAAAACGCTTCCATCAGCGGCTACTTACACCGATGCAAAAAGGGCAAAAAGTACTGGAAGAAACGCTGGTTTGTTATTAAAGGCAAAGTGCTGTACACGTACACCGCCTGCGAGGTGAGCGCACTGCCGCTGCTCATACTACTTTCCTATCCATAGACATTTTCCCCCATTGGATTCCTGTAACATTATGACATTAGAAGTGGCTCCCCACCTTCAGAGTACCAGTGTAGTAGCAGAGATGCTTCATTGATTGCAATGCCCTGGGATATTGCTAGGCTTGCTTTGTCCATTGGAGAGGAATATATTCTTGGATTTGTTGTGTTCAAGGACATTGAAAGCCTATTTTATTTATACAAGTCCACAGGATGAGAAAAAAGCATACTTCTATCAAAAGGCAAACATATAAGATTTGGTGAAAGTGAAGGTAGGGGGCCACTTTAATCCATTTTATTTTGTTTATCTCTACATTAGTAGTTTGTCTTTGGGAAAGCGTGATGTGAGGTGTCCTCTGCCATGCAGATTATGTCACATGCTATGGGCCTCCAAAGGGTAGGCACCTTGTGCCTGGTCCATCGATCATACACTTTAATTCAACTGTATCTGAAAGGCTAAGAGATCCCCCTTCTTCTGTAAACCATTTGAGCCTTGACATATTCACTTTTTTTTATCCTTCTCTTCTAGGAAAAAATTGCCACAGAAAGTTTACCTTTATTAGGTTTCCACATTGTGCCTGAGAACTGGGACCAGAACCCCAAGCTAGGCACAGTGTTCCAGCTCTATCACAAGCAGACCTTGTACTATAGCTTCAAAGCGGCAGACACCAATACAGTGATCAGGTACCCGCTGCTCCCTTCTGCCTGCCTGCCTCTCTCCTGACTCTGATTTCCTGCTGCGCAAGTGCTGCTCCTGGAAGGCAGGGCAGAGATCAATGGTGGCAAAGGATTACCCATAACGACCAATCAGAAATCAGCTTTTAGTCAATTCGGCTAAACTGAAAACTCCAATCAATCTCCAGTAAAAGGAAACCGCTTCCATCTCCTTTCTTGACTGTGGCGGGTGTATGGTAGAAAAAGTTATGAACAAATGACATCAACAAGGGAACCAATCGGGAAGCTGGGCGGTGAGTCATGACCCACCTCCCTACTTCCTATTTGACTAGGAAGCCGGCTTCACTTGTTTCTAGGCAGCATGGCTTCCTGACCAATCAGAAACCCGAGACGCGAATCCTGATGTGCTGCCCAGCTTACTGATTGGTTAGGAAGCCAGGCTGCCCACCAACATGTGAAGCTGGCTTCCTAGCCAATCTGGAAGCCGGGTGGCACGTCATGACCCGGTTTCCAGATTGGCTAGGAAGCCGGCTTTACTTGTTTCTAGGTAGCGTGGCTTTCTGACCAATCAGGAAGCCACGAGGTGGGTCATTACGTGCCGCCCGGCTTCCTGATTGGTTAGGAAGCCAGGCTGCTTCCTAACCAATGTGAAGCCAGCTTCCTAGACAATCAAGAAGCTGGGAGGCGGGTCATAACCCACTGCCCGGGTACCTGATTGGAAAGGAAGTCAGCTCCATGCTCCCTTGGCACTGCCAGTCAGAGGGAGATCTCCCTCTGACTAGAAGTTCCAGGATCGGGGGTAATTATTGGCACTGATACCGATACTAGTATCGGTGCATCCCTACACATAAGTGAGGCACTGGTAATGCAGTCCTGGTCTCACAGATGCATCCTGGAAACATCACCATTGCTTTCCTGGGAAATCTCAGCTGTAAATTGCTAAATCTCACAAGATCTCAGGGGAAAGGCATATTATCCCCCTCAGATGATGTCACATGTTCCAGGAGGCAGAGCCAGAAATCCAGGAAGGAAAGGGAGATTGGTTCATATGTAAAAATGGCCGCTATGAGAAGAAACGGGAGGAAGAGAGAAATAACATACGCAAAGAATAAAAACCCAGAAATGATCTCAGTATCTGTTTGTAGATCATCGTTATTAAATATTTCTAAAGGTGACTTTGTGGTAGTCTGTAAGATGAGGGTGAAGTTCCTCTTTATTATCAACTTAGATACTTCAAGAGTTACATCTATAACAACTGCAACAAAGTAACAAAATAGTAACAAAACTCTTGTCCTGATAGCCTACATGTATAGAGGAGATCAGAGCGGTTTCATGTAATTGGAGTTTTATTATTAGTTTTGCTATAATTATCGGGACCGGGTGAGGTCTGAAAGTCACGATCTCCAGGTGCTTTGGGGGTATGTAGAGCTTTCTCCATTACGACAGAAAATTCGTCATCATTTTTAAACTGACAACTCGCTTGGTTCGATGGGATTCCGCTGTCATCATTGCTCTTTATTCTGCTTTACTGAATAAGCTTACTTATTTGAAAAAGGATTGTTTCCACTGAAAACAAACACTGTTAAAGAGGACCTGTAATCAGGGCCGGTGCTAGCATTTTTGCCAACACAGGCAAAGTTGAATTTTTGTGCTGGAGTGGGGGCAATATTGCAGCTCGAGCTGTTTTTAATCTTTTATATCTCACTAAGGGACTGTTGGAAAAAAAAAAATGCTCCTAGCGTGGGCCTTTAAAGTGTATGTAAACCCTAAAAAACTGACTTTTTCTTATTTGCTCTCCTTTGGTATGTTAAATATACCATTGAAAGTGTTTCATTATCCGTCCTATAAGTGCAAAAAATATCTTTTGATCCTGCCAATAATACACATTTCCAGTCCTACGGTGACATTGCTGCTCCTCCATGGATACAATACAGTGAGAGGTGTCACCCTAAACAAGAAGTGTGTTACTGGCAGGGTGACCAGGTGATGATAAAGTGAAAATAGAAAACGAATGCAGACACCCCATCTAAAGACTGGTAAGCTGCAATATACAGTATTACATTTTTGTTCTCGGGTTTAGATACATTTTAAAACTAAATTTGATGTCGTTAGGCTTGAAAACAAATATCCCTGTGTGCCCCGGCCACCTGAACCCCCCCAAAAAAAAATCCTTCCCAGGCTCACTACAAGCAAAGGTGTATTGAGCGATTCCGTCGGCGCACATCCAAGTGTGCGCACTCCCGTATTTCACGCTGTGTTTACTGCACTGTGACGCCATTTCATTTTATGTTTATGTGTCTACGGTGCCCCATCTCATCACCACTCATGCATATCCAATTCCAATATTTCCTTTATATCATGCCCCTTCTCTGACTTTTTCTGTCTGCTCCGCTCTACCTTATTTCTATTGTTGTCTTTCTGTACTCTGCCAGTAGAAAAGCCTGTCCCCTGCCAGCATGCTGTAGAGAAGGGCCCTTGCTCCCCTGTCAGCATTGTGCAGAGAATGGCCCTTGCTTACCTGTCCCCTGTCAGCATTTTGCAGAGAATGGCCCTTGCTTCCCTCTCCCCTACCAGCATGCTGCAGAGAATGGCCCTTGCTCCCGTCCCCTACCAGCATGCTGCAGAGAATTGCCCTTGCTCCCCTGTCCCCCTGCCAGCATGCTGCAGAGAAGGGCCCTTGCTCCTGTCCCCTACCAGCATGCTGCAGAGAATTGCCCTTGCTCCCGTCCCCTACCAGCATGCTGCAGAGAATTGCCCTTGCTCCACTTTCCCCCTACCAGCATGCTGCAGAGAATTGCCCTTGCTCCCCTGTCCCCTGCCAGCATGCTGCAGAGAAGGGCCCTTGCTCCCCTGTTCCCTGCCAGCATGATGCAGAGAAGGGCCCTTGCTCCCCTGTCCCCTGTCAGCATGCTGCAGAGAAGGGCTCTTGCTCACCTGTCCCCTGCCAGCATGCTGCAGAGAAGGGCTCTTGCTCACCTGTCCCCTGCCAGCATGCTGCAGAAAAGGGCCCTTGCTCCCCTGTCCCCTGCCAGCATGCTGCAGAGAAGGGCACTTGCTCACCGTTCTCTGCCAGCATGATGCAGAGAAGGGCCCTTGCTCGCCTGTCCCCTGCCAGCATGCTGCAGAGAAGGGCCCTAGCTCACCTGTCCCCTGCCAGCATGCTGCAGAAAAGGGCCCTTGCTCCCCTGTCCCCCTGCCAGCATGCTGCAGAGAAGGGCCCTTGCTCACCTGTCCCCTGCCAGCATGCTGCAGAAAAGGGCCCTTGCTCACCTGTCCCCTGCCAGCATGATGCGGAGAATGGCCCTTGCTCCCCTGTCCCCTGCCAGCATGATGCAGAGAACGGCCCTTGCCCCTCCTGTCCCCTGCCAGCATGCTGCAGAAAAGGGCCCTTGCTCCCCTGTCCCCTGCCAGCATGATGCGGAGAACGGCCCTTGCCCCCCCCCTGTCCCCTGCCAGCATGCTGCAGAAAAGGTCCCTTGCTCTTTGTATGGAAGCAATACATCTGCAGAGTTCCGACTTCTCCCCTGCTGAGTCAGACCTATAGAATTGCAGTCAGCAGATCTCATGTTCCCTGCTGACATTGCAATGCAATCTGATTGTACAATCTCTGCAGTTTGAGGGCCTTCTTACCGTCCAGAAACAGATATTCAGTCACGCAGACGTACTCACAAGCTCCATTTTCACGGACACAGTGTGTCTGACTATAGCTGCTGGGAGCCAGAGTTTGGCCACACTGTCTACTTCAATGAGTAATCCAACAGACCCGGTCAGAAACATCCCCTTTCTTCCTTGGTTCTACAAACATGTTTGGCCACACAGGACTGTCCCCCTGTGCACAAAGCCAGCCCCATAAAGACATGGTATGACCAGTTTGGTGGGGAGGAACTCGAGTGCCCTACACAAAGCTCTAGCCCCAACCCTACTAAGCACCTTTGGGATGAACTGGAGCACGGTTGAGAACCAGGTCTTCTCATCTAACATCAGTACCTGACCTCACAAATGCTCTTTTGGTTGAATGGACCCAAATTCTCATATTGGTGTGATGGTCAGGTGTCAAAAAACATTGAGCCCTATAGTGTACATTACAGAAGGTGTAGAATGTCCAAGGTTGACTTGCACCTGATTCCAGAAACAACTTATCTGGAACCCAGAGACAGGGGCGTCCCGAGGCTGGGTGACACCCGGAGTGGAGACCGGGTGACACCCTGCCGTGACATCATCGCGCAAGTGCGTGACTTTGCTGTGCGCGATGACGTCATCACGCATGCACGGTCGTCTTACTGACGTCTTGGAGATGGACGAGGATAGAGAAGATAGAGAGGAGGGGACCTTCACCCAGTGGGATGAGGTATGCCGCCGAGTCCCCTCCTATCTCCTGACACTGTCGGACTCTCGGTCCGTGACCGAGTGCCCAACTTTTAATAGGGGCTGACACCAAAATGACTGTCAGTCATTTTGGTGTCACCCCTCCAATGGTGGCACCCGGGTGCGGGCCGCACCCCTCTTGTGACGCCACTGCCCAGATAGGTCTTTCAGCTAACCCAGAAGCCCTCTTCCAGCACTTTCATACATGTTCCTCTATAGACGTTCCAACCAAGTCTGTGCATCTAACCGAAATCCGACACCCATTTATGACACAGCGACTGCACACAGATAGAATAACACAGACAATTACTTTTCTCAATTGCCCAATAAAACTAATTTCTTTTATTGCCTTTTGCAGGTGGGTTGATGCCATAAAAGCAGCATCGGTGTTATAGCATTTGCTAATCAGAAGGCCGCTAAACCAATGAACATTATCTGAATGTAAATCCTCAAGATTGAACTGGAAATCAAAGAAAAAATACAAATTACAGAATTTATAGGAAGTCGCGTGTCGCCCCCTGCAGGTTGCAAAGAGCGACTACGCTTTACTCTCAACACTAAACTCTACGAATGAATCTGTTTTATTCCACTTTTATACAACCATTGATTGGAATGTATAATTCAGAACAGCCGCCTCTCTTGCTTATGACTTTGACCTTTTTTTTTATTATTTGGAGAAAGGCTTTTTTTTTTTTTTGTAGACAGACAATCTAACAGCTCCACTGAATCTCTTCATCTATTCCTGTTTACAATGTGCTAATGGTTTTCAATTAGCAGGTATTTTTTTAATGATTTTATAAAGGCCTCAACAAAGGCAGGTGCTTGTCTCAGCCATGTATTGTCAGTGAGATCAACGTATTGAAGAGTAAGAGCATCTTCCTGATAAATATCATACAACTATAAGTATGTTGCTGCTGGTTGAATAATGCAAAACAGCTTGCAGTAATAAGTATGCTTGTAGAACATCTTCAACATTCCCTATTGATGTCCTTGCTCCCTGTTTTCCCTGCTTTCCCTGCAGGAGATTGGAGGCATTGAGTATACACATCTAGAGGGATGCCGGGGATACTATAACAGGTATGCTTGCAGAACATCCTCAGCATTCCCTATTGATATGCTTGCTCATCACTGCAAGAAACTGGGCACAGCGGGTATACACATCTAGAGGGATGCAAGGGATGCTATAACAGCACTGACTGTCGAGTGTCCTCAGCAATCCCTATTGATGTGCTTGCTCCTTGGCAGTGGTGGCATTGTAACACAAGGAAATCATTAAAGGGAGACATAGAAGGGGCTGCAGATTCTTTGTTGGGTAAAGTCCTCAGGCATGCCAATCCATGTGCTTGCTTCTTGTTTATTTCGGCAGGAGATTGGAGGCAGCGGGTGTACAGTACGCATACAGAGGGATGCCAGGGATACTATAATAGGTATGCTTGCAGAGCATCATCATTCCCTATTGTGCTTGCTCATCACTGCAGGAAACTGGGGGGCAGTGGGTATACAGATCTAGAGGAGAGCCTGGGATGCTATAATAGGTATGCTTGCAGAGCATCATCATTCCCTACTGATGTGCTTGCTTATTACTCGTCACTGCATGAAACTGGGAGCATTGGGTATACAGATCTAGAGGGATGCCAGGAATATGCTTGTAGGACATCCTCATCATTCCCTATTGATGTGCTTGCTCATCACTTCAGGAAATCGGGGGCAGCGGCTATACACATTCAGAGGGATGCTATAATACGTATGCTTGTAGAACATCTTCAACATTCCCTATTGATGTCCTTGCTCCCTGTTTTCCCTGCAGGAGATTGGAGGCATTGGGTATACACATCTAGAGGGATGCCGGGGATACTATAACAGGTATGCTTGTAGAACATCCTCAGCATTCCCTATTGATGTGCTTGCTCATCACTGCAGGAAACTGGGCACAGCCGGTATACACATCTAGAGGGATGCCAGGGATGCTATAACAGCACTGAGTGTCGAGTGTCCTCAGCAATCCCTATTGATGTGCTTGCTCCTTGCCCATCACTGCAGGAAACTGGGCGCAGTGGGTACACACCTTTAGAGAAATGCTATGGATGCTATAACAGGGATGTGTGTCAAGTGTCCTCAGCAATCCCTCTCCATAAGCTTGCCCCTTGCCCATTACTGCAGGAGATTAGGTGCAGTAAGTATGCACAACTCCAGGGGATGCCAGGCATGCTATATCTCCATGTGAGGAGTCCAGTGTTTGACAAAATCCTTATCGGCCAGCAAATGTAAATTACAAAACCACGGGGGATCCCAGTAGTGTTTGCAGGAGACAGCAGGAGCAAGGAAAAAAAGTGAATGGTTGTATGTGCAAACTTGCTTGAGCTGCCGGCATACATTATAAGAGCGAGTATTAAAAGTGCACTTATTCTCAAAACACTTCCAGGCTGCCCTGTGTTTTCGGTTGGTTTAAAGTGTAACTCCACTTTACTGAGAAAACAAATTCTCCCCCGGTCAGTTACAGACACTGCGAGAATTGTAGCCATTTTAAGTCGCGTCAAAGTTCAAAATGTTTTCTTTTTGTTACTGATGCTCATGAATTCCACCCACATCCTGAGTCCACTTCCTCATTCCTGAGTTGTTCCTGCTATAGTCACACGATCACTACTAGGGGGTCTATTTATAAAATGCAGAGCTTATTCATCCAGCAAAACTGCAGCTACATTCATTCTGCGTGAATTAACCAGTTGTTGTGCGAAAGGGACAACAACGAAAGTTAGTGTAATTCCTCTTCTGGTCCAATGTTCTCTAATAGGGGACAATACCTCATTATGGCCACTAGATGGAGCTGAGGATCATAGGAAATAAATACATCTTAGTAATGAGATACAATGTTACAATTCAATAGAACACTGGAGGGAATGGAAGGGGGATATAAATGTAACTATTGCTACCCCTGTAGTATTAATGGTTACATTTATATGCTCATTCCCTCCAATCAGTGCCGGTGCTAGGATTCTTGCCTACCCCCCCCTCCCCGACCCCCTGTAGAGCTGGGGCTGCTTGCGCTATGTTTTTTTTTTTTCACTTACCTTCGGTGCGGGAGAGCAGCGGCGAGTCAGCGGTGGTCCGGTGGGAGGAGCTCCAGGTGGGGTCCTAATTTAGCTGGCCGGCGACAGCCAGAGGTGCCGCGCGTGTCGGGATCCTCTGGCAGTCGCCGGACAGCTAAATTAGGACCCCACCTGGAGCTCCACCCATCGGACCAGCGCTGACTCGCCGCTGCTCTCCCGCACCGAAGGTAAGTGAAAAAAAAAAAAAACAGCGCAAGCATCGGGGCATTTTGGCAAGTGCAAGTACTTGTCAAAATGCCCTGTTTTTTCCGCCCTCAGGCGGCCGCCTGACTTGCCTTGCGGTAGCGCCGGGCCTGGCTCCAATGTTCTCTTGAGTTGTATCTCTTTACTACCATGTATTTATTCCCTATGATCATCAGCTCCATCTAGTGGCCATAATGTGGTATTTTCCCATTCACTCTGCTCTGTATGAATTTACCTATTGAAACACATTGGACCTGAAGAGAACATTCATTCTCACAGCAGCTGATGAACTCACACAGAACAAATTTACACACAGCTTATTCCCTGGACAAACAAGCTATGCAGATTTATTTTGTTTATTTTTTATATAGGCCCCTATTGTCATAATAAAAGAAAAATTGGTGTAAAAAACGTCTGGACATTTCTGGAGTTCTTTACATAGACAGAAAGCAGAGTAGGATGCCAATCTGATAACACTTAATTACAATAAAGCTCGTATAGCTGACATGTATGTGAATTTTTAGCACAAGTGGAGTTACCCTTTAAATGGGTTTTTAAACATACGTCGTTGTTGCCTTTTGTGAGCCCACCCGCCGAATCCTCTGCAGGTTTTCACTTATGTTCGTCTATCCTCCAGCAGTTTATTTTATGCGTGGGGCGATATTACACAAATCTGCTCTCTGGGTACAGCAGAATGAAATGCGTAAAGCACGGAAGGGCTGAGTCGGGTTTCAGGGCAACGACTGTAAACGCCTCTGGTGAAGGGTATAGAGCAGGGGGTAGCAAACCTCCGGCTGCGGTGAAACTACAAATCCCATGATGCATCTCTCTTCGGGAGTCATGTCTGTGGCTGCGAGAATCTTGCAATGCCTCATGGGATTTGTAGTTCCACCACAGCTGGCGGGCCGGAGGTTTGCTACCCCTGGTATAGAGACATGGCTGGCAAGCACAGAAAGAAATCCTGAAAAAAAGATATACAGAGATACAAGAAACGTATTTAAGGAGCGAAAAGATGGACGTCATCTATAAGTGAAAAACACATCCGGGTTCCCCCACGTTGCTGCATTGTCAGCCCCCCCAGCCAACCAGCCTCTGGACATTCTGCGCGCCTTCGCCCCACCGCAGCCAGGAACCGACAGGCTGCCGACTCTTCTTCAGAACATGAAAACCTCAAATCTCTTTTTGTCCTACAGGAAACGTTTACCCTCTTACCTACCTGGACTCGTCATAAGTGCATTGCGGCTCCCAGTTTTTCCGATTGTATAAACCTCAACAATAGTAAAAAAAAAAAAAACTTAGCAAGCTATGCGAGATATCAGCTATTATGGGATGGCGGCGTTGTTTAGAGAACTTGCTATTGTATATGAAACAAAAAAAAAAGCCTTAAATGATATTCGGTTGGCTCTTGCCGACTTATTCAAAACGTTCAACTAAACAGCCAGGTTCACTTCTTATACGACTCCTCGATGATGTGTCATAAGTATGTGTATAAATAAATATGTTTAATGGTGTTGTCATTATTCACAATGTATTGTCTGCCTTTTCTTTATTGTGTGGATTGTCTGTGGGAGTCGCATTCACGTCCGGGTATGTTCACAAAAAGAAAAAATGTAGGGCCCATTCACACTATAGCACTGCGCTAAATGCACATTAGCACATCACTCACTGGCCACTTTATTAGGTACCGGGACTGACCCCCCTTTTGTCTTCAGAATTGCTTTAATTCCTCGTGGCATAGATCCAACAAGGTGATGGAAACATTGATTTGGTCTGTACTGACATGAAAGCATCACCAGGGATACCAACCTGAAAAACGTAATTTCAGGGAGGTGCCCGTCTCATTTTAGGGAGGTGCCCCCCCCCCCTGTCCCCCCCCCACATTTTCATTTTGGGGGAGCACCCCCAAAATGATGGCAGGTTGCACGCTTCTTTGCTATCCGCTGGTTTTTTTTTTTTAGTATTCTGACAGCTGCTGCCCTCAGAAAAAAAACACCAACATAGGAATGAATAGCTACATTGCTATTGGCTATTTCAATTTGCAATAGCCAATAGCAAGCTGGCTATTGCAGCCGCCCTCTGTCAATCAGCAGAGGAGGCCCTGATGGAGAACCTCGGGTCCACCTCTGCTGATTGACAGCAGCAGTGGTCGGGTGCAATAGCTAGTCTGCTATTGGCTATTGCAAATAGAAATAGCCAATAGCAACCTAGCTATTCATTCCTATGTTGTTGGTTTGTTTTTTTTTCCTCTGACTGACGACGACCCCGATGTCAGAGAAAAAAAAAACTAAAGCGGCCAGTGAGTGTATATTGCACAGCAAGCTTGCAGTACCGTGTACTAGGTGCATTGCCATGACATTCATTTGAATGGTACGCTAATGCACCTCCCAGTGGCTGTGCCTATATACTGTCTTTAGTTGGAGCGACCTGAACCAATCATAAATGGGCATGAGCAATAATATGAATCTGTAGTCTGAAAGTACAAGGTTAATGGTCCCTAGGACCGGAAATGTGGTGATATTTCTCTATTGGACAATAAAAACCTAAACTCTATCTCCTCGCTACCCTACCCAACACTTCACTTCCCTACAGTGACACTTTAAGATGTTAGAATAATGCGGCCTTACCCATCAGGGATAGCTGATCGCTCTAATATGCAACGGCATTCTCTCCCTTTCTGAGCAGAGGCTTCATTTTTGGGAATCAGGTGAACAATGAGGTACTGCTGCCAAAGGACCTCCCACTGAGATCCTGCAAGGCGCTGTTGACATGATGTGATCAGTCTGCTGCAGGCAGGAGGAAGCCGACCTGTGACAATGAGACTGTCACAGGTCGGCTCAGTAGATCGAGAAGTGAGCGAACACATACCGTCGTTCGCTCACTTCTCGATCCTGTCACGGCTCTCTGCCGTGACAGGGGAGGGGCTGGATTCCCCCCTCCCAGCTCCGATCCTCCAGCGCTGACTGGCGGATCGGACGGGAGAGGGGGCGGGTACAGCTGGCTCTGTCTCTAGATAGGCAGAGCCAGCTGTCAGTCACGCAGCTGGGCGGATCCCGGCACAATTATCGGGATCCGCTCCGGCTGCGGCGTCTCAGTATATAGGGAGCTACAGCTTGCGGTATACTGAGCCTAGGGTGACGGGAGGACGCTAGTTTGTGTCCTCCCGTTACCCTGAAGGAGAACTATGGGGAAAATCCCTGACCCCATAGTTCTCCTTTAAGCCTCATTTCTATGGTGTAGTCAGGAGAGGGAGGGGCTGAATCACCCCCGTAGTCTCAGTATTGGTGGGTCCTCCCTGCCCTTTTGCTCACCTTTGTTTTATACCTTTTTATAGATTGTTCCAATATTAGGGAACAGAAGAGAATTATTCAATCATCACAATATAAATATAGAAATGTTCTTTAAACCAGCCGTCCCCTAGCACAACCAATCCTGGCATCGCAATCAGAAACTTGACTCTTCAAAAGCATTATCTCCATTATATGACATTATC